AGTATAAGAGACTCCAAGGCCTTGCCTTCCAACAAACAACCAATCACATGAAAGTTTTACACATCATAATCAATTAATTACTCGTCAAGCTGTCTAGAGAAAACATTTCTATACATTGTCAACGCTAACTAATATTGATGGGGTAATAATCTCGCACTAACATTCCACCAAGATACTACCTTATTTAAACTCGCAAACAACATTGGTTTAGAATTACAGCTACTGTCTTGTATCTTAAAAACTGCAGAGTCATAAGATGTTTTTGGTTGATTTCGACCAGCTCGCCATCTGGTCTTGTCATTAACCTTTATCAGTATATGTCATGACAACCACTGTCAAACTGACTGAAATATAAATCATGATATTACCCTGTCTTTGGGTTGGTGGATGGCATTGGTTTTAACATACACTGGGGATGAAAGGTAATTTCGACTGATGGTTACACTCTTTCAATAATACCCTTAATTGATATCGTACCAACTTTGGGATTTGACTAGAATACAATAAAGACACAAGTACATTATAAAATACATAGGGAATATAACAAACAATGGTAATTATAGTGTGAAAATACTTGTATAAACAGGAAAACATATCATATAGATATTTATGATATTATTTTGAGACAGCTGGTAAATTGCTTTTCATGAAGTTCTCTCTTTTAGTAAAACAGTCACTGATAAACTTGGCAATTGCTTTTGAATTTTTGTTATTTAGAAATGCTTTCAGATTACCGGATAAATTTAAGTTTTCAAACAAAACAACTCTTTCAGTGTTGTACAGTTTACAATTGAAGAGGAAGTGTTCTTCATCTTCAGTTTCATTGGAGTCACAGACAGGCATGTTCTATAAGATACATCTATATTGTCATTGTCAGGACAGCTCACCACGCGAACATTCGTTTTGATGAATGTCGATAGAGCAGTCTGTATCCAAAATGTATATACACAGTCCCGTCTATAGAGGGACTGTGGTATATAGATTGCAATCATTTCGTTACTTTTACACAACAAGACAGACTTACAGTAGAGTTCAAACAATGTCCGGTGAGATCAGGGATGAACCTTAAAGGCACAGTGACAGTGAGGAGGGAGTGAGGATGGGATCCACAAGCCACTGTGTCCAACGTTAACGGCGTTGATGGTGGGCGTCACTCTAGCAATGGCAGTGCAATTATTACTACCTACCTACCTAGTACTATCTTATACGAGAATGTTTGGATATTTAGAGTAGTAACAAATTACCACTTCCGGTCCGTACCACGAATATTTACTTTTGAGATAAATAACGTTTTTTTTTGGGGGGGTCGTAACTGCCGTCCCTGGAATCTTGCCGATAGTTATTTGGTCACAATTTCCATAGTGGTAATTCAGATAACCATAACATTTGAAAGGCTACGTTGCATTGCATTTTTATTTTTAAGTCGCTTGCTATAAATTGGAATCCCTCAAATGTTTTTTTAGTTTCATCGTCCTGTACTTTAGTAATTCGGACTTCCCATTTTGCTTAAAAACGAACATATGTCATGGAGAGGTTGAGTTATGTCTGAGGGTACATTGTATGTCCTGGGAAAGTTGAGTTATGTCTGAGGGCATGTCCTGGGGAGGTTGAGTTATGTCTGAGGGTATGCCCTGGGAAGGTTGAGTTATGTCTGAGGGCATGTCCTGGGAAGGTTGAGTTATGTCTGAGGCTATGTCCTGGAGAGGTTGAGTTATGTCTGAGGGTATGTCCTGGGAAGGTTGAGTTATGTCTGAGGGTATGTCCTGGGAAGGTTGAGTTATGTCTGAGGGTATGTCCTGGGAAGGTTGAGTTATGTCTGAGAGTATGTCCTGGGGAGGTCGAGTTATGTCTGAGGGCATGTCCTGGGGAGGTCGAGTTATGTCTGAGGGTATGTCCTGGGAATGTTGAGTTATGTCTGAGGGTATGTCCCGGGAAGGTTGAGTTATGTCTGAGGGTATGTCCCGGGGAGGTTGAGTTATGTCTGAGGGTATGTCCTGGGGAGGTTGAGTTATGTCTGAGGATATGTCCTGGGGAGGTTGAGTTATGTCTGAGAGTATGTCCCGGGGAGGTTGAATTATGTCTGAGGATATGTCCTGGGGAGGTTGAGTTATGTCTGAGAGTATGTCCTGGGGAGGTTGAGTTATTTCTGAGGGCATGTCCTGGGGAGGTTGAGTTATGTTTGAGGGTATGTCCTGGGGAGGTCGAGTTATGTCTGAGGGCATGTCCTGAAAAGGTTGAGTTATGTCTGAGAGTATATTCTTGGGAGAGTGAGTTACGTCTAGGGTTATGTCCATGGGAAGTTGGTTTGGTCAGAGGTCCTTGAGAGATGTGTTAAGGTAGCAGGATAGTTTTTTTGCATGAAAAATGTAAACACCTATAATCGGAATAAATTTTACAAGAAACCATACAATCTATATATGTTTGGAAAGCTCTTGACTTGTATATTCCTATTATTAATATTTTGTGAACATTGTGTTTGTTTTAGCGTCACGTGATTCTGAAAATCAGCGGGGCTGATAATTTAACTAACGTGAATAAAATTTTAATTGTCATCTCTACAGTCATTCGTGCGATCAAAAACTTTACACTGTTTTGAAGCAAAGGATTTGAAGTTTAAATCCGTATTTCTATTTTTTGCATTAAGTTTTTTTTTTCTTTCCGAAAATCACAAATTTCCAGCACGTTTGTTGGTGTTAAAGTTAGAGTATACCGTTGGTTTGCGCGAGGTTTGTGAAAAAACGCAATAGAATTTTGCAAATATGCAAATACGGATATGAAGCCAACATATCAAAGAGTAAGAAAAGCTAAACGGCGACATCGTAGCGCTATTCACTTAAACGCCATTTTAAATTAGGTCAACGATAATTGCCAAAAACCGAACACCGAGAAATCGGCACTTTTATGATTTCAAACTTCAATCAACGTTAACTCCCGTTTCAGCAGCAAAATTTACATGGGCTAATTGTAAATAAAATGCTTTGAAAGTTGTTTTCGAGAAAAATCATGAACCGACATTTATATCTGTCAAAAACTTTGTTTTTTGGCCGTTTTCTTTCACGCTGTGGAGTTTTGTGACGGTCTGTGCTGATAACGAACGGTGACGTCATTCATTAAAGCTTGGATTATGCAAAGTGGGCGGTTCTGTTTGCGAGTAACAAACAATACAGAGACTACACTTGGCAGTTGAAGTTTTTGCAAATACAGTGTATTTATTTTTGGGCCGTTGTGTTTGTAAACTTATTAGTTCAAGCATGCCACGAGTTTCGGAGTCTCCTGGAGGCAGCTCGTACATACTGGCGAAAGGGTGTACCCGTTACTGGTTGAGGTAACCCCTAATAGCTTGACAGTTTCACCAGAGCGTGCCGTCCCTTTCCAATCGCTCGCATTCCAATGGCAGCCTTTTTATTTATTTAGAAAACTGCTCCCTTCTTTCGAGATGACGGGAAGCTAGGCTGGCTCAGTTTCGATCGAATACAACTGCCTAGACCGTGACGCCTGCGCTCCACTATTGAGATATTGCCTACTTTGCAAAATTGACAAATCTCTTTATCTAGGGCGCCATTCAACAGTGACATGTCAACGAGTCGAATCTCGCCGTCTTCAAACGATCGGCCGTGACATTCACTCTCACTTTCTTCTTCTACGTCGGAAGTTAACAATATTTTCCTGCGAGATACAGACATCTCTCGAACGTTTTGAGTATCACCCACTATATCGAAGTCTGATTCATCGGACTCCCAGTGTCACGGTAAAACTTTCTTCGCCCACTTCATGGCTGACACTGGTTTCGACGGGGAAATCCGTTTTGTACGAACCCAGCATCGTCTCTTTCACAATCTTTTTTGACAGGAGTGATCATTCTTTTGATGTTTTTCTTCTTTCTTCCTCGCTTTCTTTTTCTTGGAAATTTTCGCGTGCTTACTATCTCGTCCATAATTAGTTAATGACAACTAAACTAAAGAAGAATTACTGATAATAATTGTAAAATGTGATCCAGTGATGTATGCCGGCATGTAGCATTTCCTGTGCTATTAAAAATCAAACCCTGTGTAACCTCAGGTCTTATACTTGTAGATGAATCTCTTCAAAATTTAATTGTAACCGGACTCACAGTTATCATCTATAAAAACTACCTAGATTTTAGATTATCCTTTTATTTTTTACCGAAGTCGTACGAAAAAGTCGTCGGCCAGGGGGGGGGGGGGGCACGCTACTATTTCGTTGCCGTGCATTTTGTTCGCATGAGTACATTAAGATAAAACAACCAAGTATTTATCAAGACAAGATTTATTACATGTATCATAATTTACGAATTTAAGAAAAACCTACATGCAAGTATGCCTACTTGGTGAAAACTCCTCTGAAAAATGGGATATATAAACCAGGT